ACATAATTTTGTTTTCTGAGGTGTTCCCAGAGCAGTAACTCCACCATAAATAATTTCTTTTCTGCAAGCAGCTTCTTCATTTCCTTTGTGCATTGCTCTGTGGGACAATATGGCCCAAAAATCAAGCTGATTTTAATGCGTACTGACATATTTGGTAGTTTGTCTGGTATGAATGCATTACATACTAAGACCTGATTCCATCCAGTGTGTATTGTCACATGTCCAGACACATAAACACAGTCAAAAATATGCAGATATGAATATAATAGGGAGCCTCCTATTTCATGTTTTACTGCTCCCATCCTGTCAATTGCATACACAAAGATCCAAACACTGACAATCCACCCACCTCTGACTGAGGAATGTGTCATTATTGGACAATTCTGCAAACCTCTTGCAAATTTTGTTAGGACATGATCTCTGCTATGAAAATGAAACTCATAACGAAAAATAATCATCATGGTTACAAGGAAATAAAGCACTGATATCCACTCTCCTTCCTGTCACAGAGTAGCACAAGACTTCCATTTGTACTGGTAATAACAAAGAGGTATAATGTTTTTTGCGGTGCATGTCACTACTGTCAGTTATACCTTTTCTGTGTTGTTGCTGTTAAATAGAATCTGATCCTAGTTGCTCATGGTCAGCTAATGTACAGTATAAGTTAGGTATCATAAATTTGGTACATAAGCAATACGTTTTATGAAAGCCATTAATCCAAACATTATTGATATTGTGACCCTAAAATAAATATATTCCTGTCCTTCTTTCATTCCCATAACTAATTATAGATTAAACACAACAAGACCTATGATAAATAACCACTGTCCTATCCTAATGGTAAGGAAAAGAAAAGGAGAACGCCCTTGACTTGGTAAGCTCATCAGCATCAAACTCATAATTAAACACACAACTTACTATCCTCAATCAATAACCTTACAGGATGATTAAGAATATAAGCATGAAATAAATGCTCTTAGAAAATATGACTCATATCAATCAACTCAATACCCTCATTCAAAAGCTTTAACTTGGAGGATAAGGTTGGTCATTTTCTATGTTAATAGTATTTGCAGCACTCTATACAGAGACTAAAACTAACATTGAATTGCCTCTACTCATGATTAATGCCTGCCAGTCCTAGACTTGTGTATTTGTCTGTGCCATAGACCTCCACTGTTGTTCAAAAACGACTAAAAACCCTTCAGGCAAACATAACGCTGCACCAGGTGACATACACTGCTCAAACAAATAAAGGGAACACAAGGGAAAATAAGACATTCAACTATGTAATGAACAAGGTATTTAATAAGAATATTTCATTCATTCAGATCTAGGATGTCTTATGTTGTGTTCCCTTTATTTTTTTGAGCAGTATATTTCCTAATTACAAAACACAAGACCCTACTATGTGTTAAAAATATCCACAGATCTCCTGCATGGGTCCTGGACTCTTGCTTACTTCAGATACTGTAAAAAAAAAAAAAAGTTAAGGCTGTTCGGAGCCTTTGGGGCAACGTTTTTAGGGTCTGGTGCTTCATAATGAGGAAACTTGTCACTCAGTGCAGCTGTGCGTCCCACTGCTGTCAGCTGACTGAGTAATTCAAAATCAAATTTGCTTTATTAGCAAGACTGTTGACATTGCATCCTTGCTAAAGCTAAATAGTATTTGTTGAATTGAGTTTTACACAAGAAAACGAGATAACACGCTAACAGGCCCACTTTAAATGTATGCAATTTGGTTTTTCTCTTGTCAATCTGTGGACTAATTGTAAGACTGCTAAACACACTAAGGGAAACAAATTTTAATCAGCATTAATGTACTATGTTGTCTCAATTAGTTCTGGAAAACTGGAAAGGTACCACTATATACTGTGTGTAACTGACCCCTATACTGCTACATCTTGATCAAACTATCTAGTAAGTATCTTACATTACTTGGTGGTTAACAGTGGTGCAAAGTAACTAAGTACATTTACTCAGCTACTGTACTTAAGTACCTTTCTGAGGTATCTGTACTTTACTTGAGTATTTTCATTTTGTGCTACTTCATACTCGACTTCACTATATTTTAGAGCCAAATACTGTACCTTTTACTGTACTCCATTTATTTTATAACTTCATTTACTAGTTATTTTTCAGAACCAGATCAATACAAAAATTACAGGAGAATCATCAGGCTTTATTAATCTCCAGTGGAAACATTTACAAGCTACCCTGTGGTATGTAAAGTACTTCATATTATAGGCATATATACTAGTTAAAAGTAGTTCCTCCACCAGCTGCAACATTAAATGTGATGCCCACAATAATGCATCAGTAATTATAATCCAACAATATGATATACATTAATGTTAAATGTGCCATTCTGCATAATAAGTACTTTTACTTTTAGTACTTTAAGTATATTTTGATGCTATAAGTTTATGATTGTACTTCAACAAATAAGTGCATTGAATAAAAAGTACAACATATTTCTCCAAAATGTACTGAATGAAGTATGAAGTAGCACAAAATGAAAATACTCAAGTAAAGTACAGATACTGTACCTCAAAATGTACTTAAGTACAGTACAGAATGTGTGTGGGTTTGAGTATAGATTGATTTTATTAACAAAACCTGTAAGCCTTAGAAAACTATTAGCAGAATATCCTACTGTGCTGTATCGGACATATACTAAACACATACTACAGACAGACACACAGTGTAGTAATGGATAGTGTGAGCCATGGTAAATGTAAATGGCTGCTGTCACCACAGATATACACTATCTTCCACTACCTACTCTCTCTTGTTCTCCCGGTGTCTCACTGACACTCTCTTTTACTTCCATGTTAGACTCTTTAATTACATGCCAATTCAATACAGTGGAGATGGAAAGACTCACCCCTATATCCCAGCACACACACTGTGCGCATTTAAAAATATATCATTAAGAAATAGGAGCTGGCACTGGTGATGACAGGGAAGGAGAGGAGAGAGGAGCAAAGGGGAGCAGAAAGGGATTTCTTCTCGTTGGAGCTGAAATCAATGTGTGAGATGAGGCTGTTTTAGGTTTCTACCAGATGATGCAGAGGATCATCTCCTCACAATGGGAAGGCTTCCCTCATTGCTGTGTCAGCAGGCTCAGATTACAGTGGCTTTTTGTTGCGTTTCAAACAATTTCATCATGGCCCCCCACACACTTGGTATGCAATGCAGCACTGGCAATTTGTACGTGTTTGGATTCCAATTATGGAGTTGTTAAAGCTTTTTCGCCTGTGGCCTGCAAATTCTTATTAAGCCATACATTAAAGAGCACAGAATCACATTTAAATGGAGTTCATGTTTCTCTTTTGTTTGCCAGAGTTGTGGTTGCTATTAATTTATTCTGAATGCCCTATGCATTACACATTAACAAATAAATGTTGTGATCAAGTTTGTGATTGTAATGGAAAATGCCTGTTTTTTTATTCAGAGATAGGGCCAGCATTTTTCAAGTAAACCAACAACAACGAGCCCAGGGAGAGGAGAAAAGAGAGAAAAAACAACCACCAGACAGGAGCCATTCCCTCCTATTACCCTCACCCATTTGAGAAACAAACAAACCAGCTCAAAACAACAGTGAGATTTCCACAGGCTTGGTATTTCTTTAAGGTGTCGCAGAAAAGACAAAGGTAGTCAGACAACAGTGCGAGTGAATGAGTGATTTGCTTGGTGGCATCGGAAATCGTTAGGGGTGCTGGGACAATGGGGAGGGCTGCACCATGACACCAGTGCTGTCAGCCACCTCAAAGGTCACGACCCTGGACAGACTCCATCACTGTCTGTCTTTCTCATACTGAAAGACATGGCAGGGTGACAGCTGACTGTTCCACAAAAGGAGGCACTTCATGAAACAGAAATAAAAGCACTGAATGTGATATGATAACAGTGGCTAAAAACTGTCCTGACACTTGAGAATTTGGAAGGAAGAACAGGGTACAGGTCAATGAGTGGATCATTGATGTAGGATTTTAACCCTTCATTTTGGTGCAGTCTAGCAGAGGTTACAATGGAAGCATAGCCAAAGTGCAAGGGTCATTGAACTGGAAAAAGGATTCACACACAACCCAACACAAAAAATAAGAAAGATGTTGAATGTTGCAGTGGGCAAGAGTGATTTCATATACAAAAAATAAAATTCAGTGTAGAGATGCTTAATAGATCACATCCATGGAATAAATTTGGTGGTTGAAATGAGATCCAAAATACAGCAGCTGCTAATAAACTATCTTCAGAGTGGCAGAAATATGATGCACAATAACCCATATGAACCTCATTAACAGAACACAAGCAAATCTATTTATTCAGCGAGTCAGGGGGAAAATGATTTCTTCAGTACTCCATCTGGTTTCTCTCCTATCTCTTGTCCTCCACTTCCTGTCCTCCCTTCCCCTCTGTCAGTCTCTCCCTCCTTCCCCCATCCTTACAGTTAATGTACAGTATATCATTCCCCCTTTACACCCCCAACACTCTCACCCTGTCCTGTTCCTTTTGTCTCCGCTGCTTGTCACAACCATTCAATGAGAGGATGCTAGGAGTGTTGGACAGCAAATAGCACTGGGGACGGGGAGACTGGACAGGCCTGGCAGTTCATCCATAGAATTTACTGCTCATTCCCTACTTTTTGTTGTGTCATTGTCTTTTCTCCTCTCCCCACTGCCACCATAGGAAACCCTCCACAGCCTGGTATACTACACAGTTGCTGGGTTTTTTTTTCATGAACTTGCTCTGTTAATTCCAAGGAATGTTTGCAAAGATTTTTGTTTTCAGTAACTAATTAGACATTCTATACAGATCTGTTTTGTTAATTGCTCAGTAACTGTTTAATTGCTTTGTAATCCATTGCCATTACTGTATTCTTAGTTGAATGTTCTCACACATTGCAATTTTATTTTATAATGTTTTTAAATGTTTTGTACATCATTTATGTTTGTTTAATATCTATATGATTCAGGTTTCATGTACTTCTGTTGCAGGTTGTGCTTTCCTTACCTACTGTGCCCGGGAGTCGGCCATCAAAGCCCAGAATGCCCTCCATGAACAGAAAACACTGCCAGGGGTGAGCGTCTGTCTTTCCCTCTTTTGCTCTCTGTTTCTCTCCCCTCCTCTTTCGCTCTTGTCTCTATGGTGGTCAGCTATGCCCTCTGCACCCAGCTGCACACACCAGCTGGCATTCTCCTTCCATAGTACCAGAGATGAAAAACACTTCTGAAAGCAATTCAATCAATAGCTTAGCCCTTTGAAGGCCCCGCTTCAAATTTTCCATGTGTATGTACTCTAGGGAATATTGCCAGCATTGATCAGACCCACTATGACTCATACTTTTGACGCTGTAGCATGGGATGACAGCTTTTTTTTGGGGGGGGGTGAAGGTCTGCACTTTTGGAAAGTCTCTATGCAATGAAAAAAACTGAAACTGAAAAGTCTTTCTTTTGCATTTGCATATTGAGGTGGTATTCACCTACATTTACATGTATGCCATTTGTTTGGTGTTTATGCCTTTATGTGCTAGTATACCAACACCTCTGTGCATAGCCAGATCTGTATGAGATCCTGTTAGAGGCAGCATGGCCAAACATGATCAGAGCAGCCCTGCCCCATTGAGAAACATCAATAAAGATCCACTCATCCTCATCCCCGACACCCCATCTGATGGAAACCAAAAAGCCCGTGAAGCCCAGCCAAAGGGCACATGTTTCAGATTAGACATGCAAATACAGCTACCACCAACTATGAACATTTTTCTTGTGGCTTTCTTGAAAAACAAGTTGTTGCATTTATCCTGCAAATTAGCCAAGTGTGAGGCTGCAGGATGTTATGCTCCTCTTTTTCTTCTCAATTTAAATAATAAGACAAAAGAGAGAGAGAGGAAAAAGTCCATATAATGCCAGAGGATGTGTTCATGAGGGGTTATAACTGTTTTCAGAATTGTGTTACGAGAGAAATCAATTGATTTTTGTTTTAGTCTGTGATCTAGTTTTCCTGTAAGTCTCACAGTCATTAATGTTGCCCTCCCCGACCAGGCTGGCAGGGCATCTATAATAGTTGATCTACCACTGGGATTACATTGTTTATGTGGCTGAATGTATAAACGAGGGCCATGAGGGCACAGACATAGATGCTAACAAGTGCAATTTGCGTGCCTGCTTCCCCCCTTTTATTTAATGTGTTCTGACAAAAAAGCTGATCTCTAAACCATCTGGAGTCAGAGGTTTAACAGTCATCCAAATGGATTCATATAAACAGCACCACTACAAACTTAACTTCCCTTAATATGATTGCACAGTCATGATACACAGAGTATTAGTGGACACAGCTTTCCATGTTGCATTTGGACACAAAAGCTCCTCTTTATGTCTGTGTACACACACACATTCAGTGACTTTAAATGTTGACATGACTTGTGAGAAATAAAACCCTTTTCTCATAACATGCCCTCCTGCTGACTTCCCTCTACCCCACCAAGTCCTGCCCACCCCACATCCTCCCATCGCTCATCCCTCCCACTGCCGCTGCTTGTCATGAGACACAGCGTGTCATAGAAATGTAACAGGCAGATGGGCGATGGGTGTCAGGCCTTATACAGTAGACAAGGCTGCTCTGTTGTTCCCTTCCCTTCAACTTCACTCACACACACAAACACCAGTGGTCTGAGGAAATACAGGCAGTGTGTGCTTTAATACTGCAGCCACACATAGCACAAATAAGTACAACATCAAGTGCACGCAATTAATGTAACACAGTGTCACCAAACATCAAATAGACCCCTTCTAAATGCTGATGGAGCAACAACTGAAGATGTGTGTGTGTGTAGGTGCCTTTGTATTACATTATGAGGACCAAAACCTGTTAACACACTCACACTGTGGGGACTTGGCCATCCTTGTGGGAACCAGAAGCTAGTCCCCACAAGGAAATCACTGAATTTTAGGGTGGCAACATGGTTTAAGGTTAGGAATTAAGTTAAGTATTAGGGTTAGGTATTAGGGAAGTAGTGGTTATGGTTAAGGTTAGGATAGGTCTACAGGAAATGAATGTAAGTCAATGTTAAGTCCCCACAGTGAATGAAAACACAGTGTGTGTGTGAAGAAAGAAAATATATGCTGCATTGTGTGTGTTCATGTGTATGACTGCCTCCCATCGCTTCTCCTGCACATCTCTGTTGAACCTTTCTGCTCTTAATTTTTTTTTTGCGGTATGACCCCTGTTGCTTCCCTGTGTGATGGTAAGTACATATGCCAGTTGTTTGCAAAATCCTGCTTGATATGCAGTTTGCCAGGGGCTATGGTGTAATGAATGTAAACTAGGAATTCTCCAGAGATGAGTTGTGATTATTAATGTCTGCGTTTTGTCATTAACCCCTGCTTTGCTGCTCTCTTGCAGAGAGCTTTGACTTGTGTGGCTACTCCTCCGTGTCTTTTATTTAAAATGTTTGAACCTGAATTAGGGCTGCGCAAATAGATCAAACTAATTTGATTAATTCAGTTGTTTTGTTGTCCTATTTTGTCTGTCCTATTTTAAAAATGCCTAAAACTCAAAACTGAGATGAATGCTTCTTGTGCTTTCACTCAAACGCCGGTGCCAGAGGCCCCTTAGAGTTACGACAGTAGCGGAAACTGTCACCATTTCCTTGAGAACACCTGCTTGTATGAACTTTGCCAGTCAATAAGCTTGAGTAATGGTGGTTGCAGCAGCTAAATATTGAGAAATAATGCTAAAGAAAGATTGTCATGTTACCTCAATGATATTGGCAATGGTTCAGTTTTGCAAAAAGATTGTGCTGTGTAACAACTCAAAATAAAAGTACATTAACCTCTTAATCACCTGAGACACAATATGCAGTGGAATGGGAACAAGTGTGTCTCTTTGAGATTCTGATGCTAGCTCCTCCCCAATTTCAAAACCACTGCTATAAAGCACACAAGCAAACATTAGTTGCTTCACTTTCCATGGTCACCCTGGATGACATGACAGAAGGAAACTACAGAAGTGTTGGTATTCTATATTGGAAAAGACCTGATTTACACTGTTTAAAATTATTTTCATTTTTAAGTAAATAATAAATAGAGACAGGCTATCCATGCAATTGCTGCCTTTTGTTATTGTGGCATAGCTGCTTCTAGTGTTATTATTTAAAATGTCCACAATATGTAAAGGGATAACAGCCTTTACAGTGATGTTTTTATGTTGTTATTATTGCACATATAGCGCTAGTTACTGTGGAATGGCATATAGGTTTGATAAAAAAAGTATTTTTGAATCATAGTCTTGATTTTATATAGACAGAAAAAATAGATTAAACTCACGAATCATTCATAACACACATCAAAAGGTGAAATGTAATATTTTTGGCCATTCTGCCCAGCCCTAATCTGAATTAATTTTAACCAATGAAAACCCTGCTGGATTTTACTTGTTGAAAATGATTAAAACCATACATGAAAGCTGAACCACCTAACAGGCCCCAGTATTTCTGTGCAGGGCCTTTTGCTGAACAGCATAGACACATGCCAGCATACAGATGGACACCAGCATGTGCACAGTTATTACCACACACACACAGGCACACAGACACACTTGAATTTCATGAGGTGGAGTGTTTTTGAATAAATCTCCAGCTGGAAGACCTGGGTTCACACACTATGTCTACTTCAGTGTCCTTGGGCGAAGCGAGGAACCCATGAGTTATGCTTTGCTTTCCCTCCTCAGGGGGC